GCCCCGGGTGAATTTTGCCATGCCCGTTTTCACTTCTACCGCGCCGTCTGCCCTATAAATCCCACTGCCGAGGTCCACCCTCTCGCTTTTGTTCACCGCTTGCACACACGCACACTGCCACCTTCAATTCACCCATTCCGGAGCTCGTCCGTCTCTGAGGTCGTGCCTGGTAGTTTCACGGTGCTTCACCGTGGCTGTAGGTCCCTTTTCCCTTTTGTTTTGACCTTAGTTTCCACAAATTCATGCTCACCGGTGGTTAATTTCCTTTCCAGTCCACCACCACTCATCGCTGGTCAGCTTGGAGCTCTCCCGGACGTCGAGAACACCTTCATCGGAACTACGGTATAACCCTCATTGTTCATGTGCCATTGTTTTTGTTTCTAGTCCACGGAGTCGCCGTATCAGCGAGCTCTGTATCCACCAGCCATGGCGCCGACATGGGGCTGTCTCATCGACATGCTTCCCTGCCCACTCTTTATGCCTCATTGAATTCACCTTGTCACGCTCGTCATCCCGGTACTTTTAGTTTTGAACGGCGTAGTCAGCATCGCCATCTCGGCATTTGCCGATGAGCTCGGGCCATCGGCGTCCATGGCGCTGCTCGCCGTGGTCACTGTAGCGCCAGCAGTTTCATCCCCATCTCACCAGGGTTGTCCGTTCTTTGATCGGCGGCCAGGATTAGATACCCCTTCAGGGTTATGTAACCAATCCACCATGGACCGTGGACATGGTGCGTCGCGCCCGCGTCAGCACGTCTACCGCACGCGTGGTGCATCGCACCAACCATCGGCCACCACATGGCTGCCTAGTCAGCCGACGACGCGGTCAACCGTGACCCGCCGCGCATCTTGCACTTTAGCCCCTGCTCTTTCTAGTAATCAACCCACAGTACATCTCAGTTCAAAATGATTTATTTTTAGTCCTGTTTATATCTGTTTTAGACCCTGTCTTTCTGGAAAATATGAAGCACCATCCAGATCACGTTAAAAATCAGATTTCATTTGTTTTAATTCAAAATTGATTTCGGTTTATTTATAGAAATGTCATTGAATCTTGTTTTATGCATAACTTTCATGTTTTAAATCCGATTAAAGTGATTCTTTCGCTCATGTGTTTGTAGCAGTACATAGATTAGTTTTATAAGCTTTTCAGTCTCTGTTTATACTGCTTGGAGCACTGTTCTAATAGAAATATATTTGTATGCATGTGATGATTGTTATGGATGCTTGATTGGTGATTTGGATCACGTTTAGAAGGTGATCAGTACGAGTTTGTCGAAGAGCAGGGTGGTGAGCAGTACCAGGAGGGCAACTTTGTGGAAGGCAAGTGTAACAAAGGCCCCCTTCTACCTATGAACTTTATAATTCATACATATGCATGTGTCTAATTTGAATCGCCTTTAAGGACTTTACCTAGATTATTCTTGTACCACATATCCTTGTTACCTATGGTTTGTGATGCATTTTGAATAGTTGCTGCAGCGCATAACCAACATAAATAATAAACATGACTAATGGTTTATGCAATATGTTAAAATTGTGCTTTTTAGCAACTGTTTAGGGGCTAGATTACTGGGTTTGAGTTCTCTAGTGCCTCTCCATAAGGACTTTTATCCTGAAGTGGCCACCCAGGAGGTTCCATACAACCCTGAGTGTCACATTGCTCTGACCTTAATCATATAACTAGTATGTCTCTAGCTTGTTAGTGGTTATCGAAAGGCGTAAGAGGGGGGTGCCAGGTCGTGTATGGCTCTTGTCCTACCGCGGTGTGTGCTGGGCTGCGCGTCACAAGTGTGCCACTCTCGGAGGAGAGCACCTATATCTACTTGGTCAATCCGAAACCTTAGCGGCTACTAACTTGTTATGGTGTCTAGTGAAAGGTTAAGTAGTGAAACCCTGCCACACTTCCTTGACAGAGGTGTTGTGGGCCTTGCAAACCCTGGCATTGGGAATCACGGTTCGGTGGGTAAAGTTGTACAAATTCAGCAGAATTCTTTAACATGTTATAACAGCTGGGCTCACGGACACGAGCGGCCTAGATCCTTCATGATTAGTGGTTACTTGGATGGTTCGAGAATGATATAATCTTGATTAATTATTATTACAACTTGGGTTGGTTTATTCACTAAAGTAGTGATACAGGTTTAATAAAATTTGACCAACTAAAATTGCTAACCGTAGTCAAACCGTGTCAAGCCTTTGAGCCTCATAGATCCCTTTGTTATACTTGCTAAGCATGGTGCACTTACGCTTGTTTTATATTCAATGAAAATCCTAGATGGGTAACAGATATCATTTATGAGGAGTTTCCTGAAGATGTCTAGGAGTACTAGATTGAAGTCCACCAGTTGGAGTCCCTGTGGCAACATGGGTTTAGTTTTCCGCTTTATGTAATAATGTTGCTGATGAGCATGACTATGTGATAACAATATGATGAGATATGCGATGTAACAAAGTACTTTACTTTGATATTATTACAATTTGAGATTATATGTGTGTTTGGATATCCTGGGCGCACATATATGAGTACTGGAATTTGCTATGCAAAATTAGGTGCGACATATAAGATAAGCCTGCTCCAGTTTAGGTATATTCTTTTATTCTTTATTCTTCCTTTTATCTTTATCCTTGAGATTGGCTAGGGTATGTGTGTCACACTATCCAATACTTATCCTGTCTTACCCCTATTGTGGACTTTGGTCTATTATACAGTCATGTTATGTTGACCATGCCCCTACTAGAGACTTTTACACCATGCCTCCCTTTGGGAAAATATAAATGAATGATACCCGAATACTTCTGAGTGAAATGCTACAACGATATATCTGTGCGCTTGCGGAACATTTCTGTATGCGTTCAGAAATATCGTCACGACGTTTTCTGGTGCCATTGCTAGGAACACAAATCCTAGTAATAACGCTAAGAAACGCCAACAGGGCCCCACGAAGGGCATCGCACTCTCGTCAGCGGAAGCCATCCCCGTCATGGCTAGCTTGGTCACCAGAAGATCGAATTTAGCCCTTCGTCGCCATCACAAACCAGGCCAAGTGAGGCCATGAAGGGCTCAGGGGCTCTTGATGAGATCCTAACATATGGGTATGTTAAGCCTCGGGATCAATGGTCCCCGATCGAAGAGACCCCCCTACCAACCCCTCTAGGATCGCTCGGGGGCTCGGGGGCTATACCCATCAGGTACGCTCACGTGTACCCTTCGATAAAGAAACCTGACCGAGCCTAGGCACGCCGCAGCCCCCGCTCAGGGCTCAGGGGCTCGCCCGAGCCTCAAGCTCCCGATCGACGATACTCCTGAGCTCGGCCCTTGCCTCCTACCTGGCTTATGATGCTAGCCAAGGACCGGGTGCAAGAAGACAAGCCCCGATCCACTGAGGCTTGGGGGCTCCCAAACGCTACCCTTCAGGCGTGACCTTGTCGGCCACTCCCGCGACAGGGTCACGCACAGGGAGTGACACAAGAAGACAAGTTTCCTCGACCTCCAGGTGATGGGTGGCTCCTGGGCCCGCGCATCAGCCGCTGGAGTCGACCTCCTTCGCCACCAAGAAGACTCCAGAAGGTCCACCTAAGGGAGGCCGGTCCAAGCCGACACAGTCTGACACGCAGAGTGTCAGAACAGAGCAGCTGGACGACGCCCAAGGCTTCTTCGGCTCCACGACACCACCACGGTCCACAGAGCACCGCTGCAAGACCCTCCTGGACTCCGGTGCATGTAGACTGTAGACACATCCCCCAAACCGCAATGTACCCGACCTATATTGGTATATAAGGGATAAGGTCGGACCTTAGGGAGGGGGAGGATCCCAGACAGATCATTCCATTCCTCATTCGATCCGCTCCTGCTTAGCACCGAGAGTAGGGCAACCCAGAGAGAGGCACCGAGAGCTCCTCCGCCGCACCCATTGTCTTCCTCGTCTCCGACGAGGAGAAGGCTCCACCGGCGGCGAGACAACCTTAGAATTAGCACCGAGCTAAACCTTACCAAATCTCTCTCTACACTCTGTTGTAACCCTCGATTTTAGATGCTCTTGAGTATAAGGATTATTAGTTGCTAGACATAGGGCACCGATCGGTCCGAAGCAGGATATAAGCATGATATACTCTAACAGCACACAAAGCTTCCAAATCCTGGTTCGGGCCGATGCCCTACGTCCAGCAGGTCGGGCATGTTGCGATGGACTGCAGTTCGCGCGAGAGTGGGCCATCCGGCGAGTTCAGTTGGAAACCGATTGTCAAGTACTTGTCAACTTGTGGATCAATCGATCACAAAAGAAGTCGGAGATTTCACCTCTCATTGGACAGATGGAAGATCTTAGCCGGAGCTTTGATGATTTTAAGCTGCATTAGTAGAACTTGTAATAATTTAGCTCATGCATGTGCTCGGCTGGTGTCCCGTAATTCTCAGGTGGTCGAATGGCCTATAACCCCACCTGGACTTACGGACATCTTCAACCGTGGCTGTAACCCTGATCATGATTAATGAAGCTCCGGTTTCATAAAAAAAGATTAGGCTATTTAAATCGGAATTCGATGTTCCATTACTTTATGAAGCTTATAAATAAATCTATCTCAAATTTATAGGATAGAAGATAAAAATAGATTCTGTATATCATTATGCTATAATTCTACTCTCCAATTTTTACCACACTCAACTCATTTCTCTAAAATAAAAATACAACATATAAGTATGTCTCTTACATGTTTAACAATAAATATACAAATATATTTTATATACAACTATATTAGCTTAATTAATATATGTTTAAATTATAATTATTAGAATGAATTCAATTAAAGGATGCAAACGGGCCTCATAAAACAGAGCAAGCTGTGGCTTGCAAGCAGCTACTGGAAAATATTACGCGCACCCCGACACTATCCCAGGACCAGGCGGCGAAGACTTGGGTGCTCTGCAAGTCCACGCCCATCCTCGCCGCGGCGGCGACACGCGCAAATCGAGATCCGGAACAGACCGATCCGGCCGGCGAGATGGACATCGTGGTGGGCGCGCTGTCGGGCATGGTGGACGCGCTGCCGGGGAAGCTCGGCGAGCTGCTGGAGCAGGAGTATGCGCTGCTCTCCGGCGTCCGCGGAGATGTCGTCTTCCTCAAGGAGGAGCTGTCAAGCATGCGCGCCGCCATCCACCACTGCGAGTCCCTCGACCACCACGACTCCCAGACCACTGGATGGATCGGCCTCGTCCGCGAGGTCGCCTACGACATCGAGGACTGGGTTGACCTCTTCGGCATCCGCGTCAACGGCGGCGCCCAATCCACTTCCGGGTTTCGTTCCTGGATTCGCCGCTGTGTGGACAAGTTAACGGCGCTCCCCGCCCGCCACACCATCGCGAGCGAGCTCCAGGGCCTCAAGGAGCGCGTTCTTGAGATTAGCGAGCAGCGGAATCGCTACAGACTCGGCGCGATGGTTGGCACCACCTCGCAACATGCCCATGTTCCCAGGCTTTCTGCGCTCTTCGTCGACCCCGACAGCCTCGTCGGCTTGGATGGGAAAGTGGAGGATGTGTCCAAGACGGCCATGGACGCCGGCGCCACTAATGAGCTGAAAATCGTCTCCATTGTCGGGATGGCCGGCTCAGGGAAGACGACGCTCGCCAATGCAGTGTACCAGCGTCTTCAAGCAGACAACACCTTCCAGTGCTCTGCTTTCGTCTCCATCGGACCGAAGGCGGACATGGTGAAGACAGTCAAGGACATGCTCTCAAAACTCGGCGAACGGCACCGAGGGGGCGAGGACATTAGCCAACTCATCCACAGGGTCAGAGAAGTACTGGAGAAGAAGAGGTATGCCTAGCATGACCTGCTGAATTTTGGCAACCAGACTACAGAATCACAAGCTGATTTGGTAATATTTTGCTTCATCTGTGCATCCTTTTGGACTATTACAGGTACCTCATTGCGATTGATGATCTATGGAGTAGTGAACAATGGGGAGCAATATGGTGTTGTTTTCCAGACAACAGTCTTGGTAGTAGGATAATCACCACAACAAGGAATGATGCGTTGCCCACCAATCATCATTCCGGTTCAAGCAAATTTGTCCACAAGATCGGCCTCCTTACTGACAATGAAGCCAAGCAATTGTTTCTGAAGAAAGCTTTCAGCAGTCGGAATGATTGTCCACAACATCTGGAGGATGCTTTTACAAAGGTTCTGAGAAGGTGTGCTGGCCTGCCACTTGCTGTGGTTAGCATAGCAGCCAAGTTAGCATACAAGCAATCAAGAGATGAATGGGAAAAGCATGGATTGAACTTGCTATGCAGTTCACATCCAGATGGGTTAGATGGGCTGAAGCAAATACTCGATCTTAGTTACAACGATCTACAGCCACATCTCAGGTCATGTTTGCTGTATCTGAGCATATTTCCTGAGAATTCAGAGATTGAGACAGAGCGCCTAGTGAGGCGATGGATCGCCGAAGGATTCATCGCTGGAAGCAAAGAGGAGACAGCAATCAGTTACTTGAATGAGCTAATTGGCAGAAACTTGGTACAACCATTGGGTCTGAACCATGATAGTATCCCAAGGCGTTGCAGAGTCCACCCAGTGATATATGATTTCATTGTTTGCAAGTCCATGGAAGACAACTTTGCCACTCTGACAGATGCTCAACATGTCCCAAACAACAACAGAACTGTCCGTCGGCTATCCCTGAATTTGAAGAACAATAGCAAGGAAGATCAACCTGCAGCTCGAAATGAGTCTACTGACTTAACTCATGCTCGCTCAGTCACTGTCTTTGGTCACGCCAGTGCCACCCCTCATCTGACTGATCTGAAAGTTGTGCGTGTGCTGGACCTCGAAGGCTGCAATGGTCCTGTGTGCTTGGATGGCCTATGCCAGCTGGTGCTGCTGAGGTACCTGAGCCTCAAAGGCACTGATACCAGTGAACTCCCACCAGCAATTGGGGATCTAAGGTGCTTGGAGACACTTGATGTGAGGTCAACAAAGGTGGAAGAGCTGCCTCCCAGTATTGTCAGGCTGGAAAAGCTAATGCATTTGCTTGCTGGGAATGCCAAGCTGCCTGGCGGGATGGATAAGATGAAAGCCATGCGGTCATTGTCATGCGCTGGTATCACGAAGAGCTCTGCCAACGTCGTGGAAGAGTTCAGTAAGGACGATAACTTGAGGGAACTGGAACTGTATTACTATGCAACTGAAAAGCCTGGAAATGAGAAGCAAATCATGTTCCCCGTTGATAGGCTCCAGACTGTTAAACAACTGTGCATCCGGTGCACATCACCATCAGTGACATTTGAGCCCCGTGTACTGCCAAAGATCCAAGCACTTGAGCTGAGGTTCGAGAAAGGCCGGGCTGATGACATGAGTGGCATGTCTGGCTTAGAGCATCTGTCGAGCCTGAAGCATTTGGTCCTCGAGTTTGAGAAGCATGATGCGGGCGCCATGGCGACAGTTGATGCAGTGAGGAAGGCTGCTGAGGCGCTCCTTCTAGATCATCAATGTATCACTATAAAGGTGGATGGGAAGAACTACTAATGCAGTGAGGATTGAGGAAGAGGTAAGGTACACACCTATACGGCTTACCACAAACAGTGCAAGGCGTCTGCTCATTGTGTCATTCAGTCTCTAAGCACTTACTTCAACATGTGATACATTCACGGTTTACTGAAATGTTGAGACTTGAGAATGTTTCAGTTTCTCGTGCTGTAAACTTTCTATTTAATGATGTGTAATTCATTTATATTTCTCAAAAGTTTGATGTTTTCTGCCACTGTTCTTGCTTTGGGGACCCTCAGTTCTTGAATGGTTTTCATAACATTGCGAAACTGCACGCCTAGTTGGACAGAAAAGATAAAATAGAATCTTGAAAATTGTATTTTAAAATTAACTTGAAAAGTAATTTTGGTTTGGCACCCTTTATAGGTCCTTATATAGGCACTCATTAATAGAGGCTCATTATTACAGAGAGGGTTCCTCTGTTAATCATTACTCGTAAAAGATACGGACGTCTTAAACTGATCACCTCTTCTAACAGCTGATTAACACTGCGGACATGATTATTACATCTTTTAATAGCCGATTAACACCATAGATAGTTTAAGATGACCGCCTCTATTAATAATTTAATAGTGGTGGATGTCCTAATCGGACTGCCTCTGTTAATGTTTTAACAGAGGTGAACTTTTTTATGAAAACTGTCTCTTTTAATGCTTTAGCAGAAATGAGTGTTAATGCATTACAGAGACGGACCTTTTGCCTAGGTGCCTCGCTCCATTAATAGAGGCGGTGTCCATTCATGCTCGCCTCTTTTAATCCCGAGCCTAATCTCCCAAAATATAATGCGATTCACAGGACAAACCGTGTTATGTAATCAATATAGGGATCCTAGCCAATATCACTCGGACGTCACTGCGCACTTGGTAGGGCAGTCCCAACGGTGTGTTGATGATGATTTCTATTCTCATTAAATGACTCGCTACGTAGGCAAAATGCTGACATGGTAACGTAATTAATGAAGAAAGAGAGCAAAAATCCTAAAAATGGTTTCATCATAAAGAAATCAGGTCTTCTCTTGACCCAATGCACCAAGAAACCATAAAATCGCCATTGGGGAGAAACCACCAGTTTTCAGAGGGCTCGTGCCACACTCCCATTGGAGAAAGAGAAAATAATTATTACACAAAGACACCTCCACTGTGGAAGGTAGTTTCTATAGATGATTTCTTGTGCTATGAAAAATGCGTCAGTTTCTTCCCTTGGAACTCCCTTACTAATTCATGTTGGTTGATGGGGCACACACGTACACATTGAATGATTCTTCCCACAGTTCGAGTCAACCGGCTACGTACTTTTGATGGTAAGTACAGTAACAAATGGTCATTTTTGAAATATTTCAGACTTGGTCCTGATGTATGTTTTGTTTTGTCCTTGTGGTAACAAGATTCAAACGCGGACCCAATGCAAGTTGCTGGACTGAAGAGGTCAATTAGTTGCCTATTGTAACCTGACCTGAAATCGATCTCTACGACTGTTATAGTGTTATTATCATTTTTTTTGCGAAGCTATGGCTATTAAGCTTGTGATAACAAAACATAAGGTTTCTTGAGATGCCGACTTGCCGAGGGAGTGCACTGAGGTAAGTAAACCTATAATGCATTTGCGCGTGCACAAAGGCAAGTACGAACTTGAATAGTTAAGATTGCGTGTATGACAGTGATGGAACTCGTGATAACTTCATCCTTCTCCATCTGCAAACATTATCACAAGTAGTAAAATACAGGCTTAAGGCGAAACAGTAAAGTAAACCCAGTAATGTTGATGCACGTGTTCACTTAGATATAGTCAACAATACATTATATATATGAAAGCCAAGAAAGTCTTAGTTGCATTCGTTCACATCATGAGTGACGAAATTGCCAAGTTTCGATTTTTTTCCAAATAACATTGCTTTAATAAAAGTTGTTATGACTAGGTATTGTACTCTGTAAATTGTAGGAATAATAGCCTATCGACATTGGTAAAATCTAAATGGAGAGGCCTCTTGATTTAAGATTAAATCGAGAGCCCCCTCATTAATGTTTGGAAACCACACAGCTATTGGAATCGTTCAAATCAGAAGAACCAAGAAGGAAGTAGCAAGATCTATCGCCGACATTGTAAGACGTCATATGCTATAGGAGAGTTGCTAAATCACATACGTCTGATTTTTGCTTTCTTTTCAGGCAACAAACATCATCCAACTAATCTTAATCCAACGATCAGTACTCATCCTCATCCTTAGGACTGAGCACCTTCTCCTTGCTGCTAGTTCATCTTCACTTTTAGTTACCTGTAGGGTAGGAAATGTGTTTTCCATTTTATGGCTGATTTTAAGTTTTTCGAAAATGATTTTTTGAGACAGACCATGTTACCGATTACCACTAGAAATGAATTTAATTTCAATATGCGGTGAGACGAACCGTCAGCAGTTTCATATCCGTAAAAATGATCTTGATTTCAAGATGATTTTGGTAGAGATGATTGCTGCAACCATCCTATTTTAACCGTCTCTATAAATGATTCGTATAAAAAAAATCGGGTTGACTGTTTAGAACAAGAACGCCTATAGAAGGATAAACCATACCTTTCGTTTCTTGGGCGCCAAACAATGCCAAGGAGGTGCTGAAGTAGCTTTTCAGTAGACAGACGCTCTCTTCCTTATTGAAAAAAAAGCCTCCCATTAGCCATTGTATGTTAACTTATTAGTAAGGTTCTTTCAACGAACTTTGCTTGTGGCTCCGATGTAAGTATATATGCAAATGCAAGCAGCCACACAGCATTCCGTCTATTCATCGCCTTGTGAAGGGAGTTCATTCATATAGGGCGTGATTGGTTGCTTCGGCGAGGGGGAGCCGGGATGGAGAGTCGGTCCAGGATGGTGAGATGCATGCTCAAACCGTGCACTCAGTTGTGTTTGGTTGTCTTTGTTGTTGGTCCAGTATAAGATGTCATCTTGTTTGGTTGCATGCATGAATGTGAGTTTTGAGTGTATGACACATGGGTTCTGGGCCATGCGTCGCACCACACCATCCCGGCTCACATGGGAAGCTCGATTTCTGCGTACGCTGCGAGCCTGCACGAGGGGCCTCAAATGCATGGTCCGGTGCATCGATTTCGTTCGGCACAGGGAACCAAACACAAAGACAATGCATCACATGGTGCCGGATGGCACTTTGGACGGCTCCATCAGGGCTACCAATCACGCCCATAGACTTAGAGAGAGAGAAACATATATACACATAAAGTTTGGCCTAGATAGTTGCAAAGGTGGTGCAAATGCTGCTCACAAAAGAACAAGTCAATAGAGGTATCTGTTAGCCCACAGGATCACCGGCTCAGGTAAGTTGACCACTCACCAGTCTTGCCGAGCACCCGCTAGTGTTGCCGAGCACTCACTAGCTAAGCCGACCACGAACAAGCATTGTCCGACCACACACACTATGGCTAGAGGTTGAAGAACAGGGAGAACAGAGCATACACACACAGTACAAGCACCAGTGTTAGCCGGAGCCCTGTATAGGAGATGGCAAATATAAACTCTCTTTGTTGAATTGCAGTGGCAAACCATATATACAACTCTATGTATCTAGTCCTAGTACAGCTTCCATGTTGCAACGGTGACTAGATAACACAGCAGGACTGACTTCTGTGTCTGTCCTTGCATGTGGCTACAGTACGGCAGGTGAGCCGTTTGGCGCTTGCCTCTACAGCGGCTACAGTACCACAGCAGGGAGCCTTTTCGGCGCCGCCTTCCCTTGTTGTGTGTTCACACAATGAAGCAGTAGATTATCTAACAATTCTTCCCTTAATCCTACTGCTATCCCTTATACCCCCTTCATACCGATCATCTCCTTCAGCTCCGTGAGTCGAAGACGTCCGAGCGGCTTGGTGAGGACGTTCACGAGTTACCGACCAGTTTCGACGAACTCGATGACGATCTACCCTCTATCGACACAGTCCCTAAGGAAGTGAAACTTCATGTCGATGTGTTTGCTCCGGTCGTGCAAAACCAGATTCTTCGCGAGGGCGATGGCGGGCTGGTTGTCCACCATCAATGCTGGTGGGTGAGCTTCCGCACCGGTCAGCTCGCCCAGCAGCCGGCATAGCCACACAACTTGGCATGCCGCTGTGACCGCCGCTACGTACTCTGCCTCGCACGTAAATAGTGCCACCACCTTCTGTTTCAGCGACAACCATGAAATTGGAGCCGACACGAGGAAGACGAGCACTCTAGAGGTGCTCCGCTGTCTGTCAATGTCCCCCGCCATGTCTGCATCGCTGAACACAGTGAGCTACAGTCTACTCCTGCCGGTCTTGGGGAAGATGATCCCCTAATCAACCATCTCTTTGACGTAGCGCAGTAGCCACTTCACCGTAGCCCAGTAATCCTCTCTAGGATCCTCCATGAAGCGACTGATGTAGTCTATGGCGAACGCAATGTCCAATCTTGTGTGTACTAGGTAGCGCAGACCGCCGACGATGCTCTGATAGAGTGTTGCATCCACCTTTGCCACAGTACTGGTCTTCATCAGTTTCAACCGCTCCTCCATCGGAGTCACGCATGGCTTGCACTCAGCCATGCCGCTCCGCTCCAACAGCTTCGAGGCATACGCGCTCTGATCGAGCGTGAGTTCCTCCTTCCCCTGTCTCACCTCGATGCCGAGGTAGTAGGAGAGTGCGCCGAGATCGCTCATTTAGAAATGACCCGCCATCTCGCGTTTGAAGCTGTTGATGTCCTCCGCACGCGCGCCGGTGATGATCAAGTCATCCACATACACACCGACGATGAGCTCCTCCTTCCCCTGTCGCCGCGTGTAGAGCATGTGCTCGGTTGCGCACCGCTAGAACCCAAGCTCGCGCCAGCATGGCATCAAGCTTGGCGTTCCATGCTCGTGGGGCCTACTGCAGCCCGTAGAGCACCTTGCGCAGTCGGAGCACCCTGTGCTCCTCTCCCTTGATGGCGAAATCTGGAGGTTGCCTGATGAAGACCAACTACG